CGAGCACAAAACTGCTTTACTGCAGCGCATGCAAGGGACAAGTCATTACGTCTTGAAGGGACCACACTGTATCCTCCCATGCAATAAAAAGGGGGATATCGGGTCAGTTTTCTGGTAGCGGAGCCCGTGTTGGGCTCGTTCCTCATGAAAGCCGCCACAGCGGTTGGCTCCGGTCGATCGCTTCCCCAGGCGGGCATCCAGGTTGCACCATGTCTTCACACATTGAAGACAGCAGCAGCAGCAGCAGCAACGAAACCTCCCAAGATCCAACGTTTTTTGCCGCAAGCCAGCCATGTGGTCTTTCGAGCGGACAAAATGCTCAGCTATCTAAGCATCACGCCGAAATAGCACCTGCTGATGGATGAAACAAACGAAGGACGGTCTCTCAAGACGTTGCTGACCGGTTTAGCAACAGTGCAAAAAGAAACACTGGACCGAGATAGACTTTGCTCTGCCAAAGGAGTGGAACACTTCAAGAAAAGATGAGACCCTTCTTTGTGAAGGGCGAGCAATACGTCTTCCTGTGGGTTTTTTGGGTCTTTTCAAGGCAACCAAGATTTCGTTACTTGGATTGCCAAGTTCGATATAGCCCTGCAGAGGTTGCGAAATTCATGGATGGACGTTCTACCGGAGGTAGCTGCGGCAGACAATCCACCGGAATTAGCAACTGCCTTCAGGCAGGATCCGACTCTTGCGTGCCTACAAGACCAATCGGAACAAGCAGCATATGCAGAGTAACAGCTCCGAGAATGGAATCGCCAGCGCGAAGACGCCCGCAGGAGGTCATGTCCCCTGAATGATAATCTCCTGTCCCTTTCATTCCTCGTGCAGTCCGATCTTAATGAACACCAGGGAGAAAGGTTAGTTTCTACACTAACTATCCAAGGGTACCGGATAGAAACCTGCACGTGCAATGTCGTTCGTCAAACTCTGTTTGAGCAGTTTGCAACCATGAAGAAAAGTTTTCAGGACCCAAACATCCGCACCTTTCTCACAAGAAGGATCAGCGAGGAAGAAGAGATATACGCCGCAGGCGCGGAGGACGCATCTTCCTCATTCTTGACCAAGGAGAATACGATGGAGCAGAAGGTTACTGGCTTCAAGACGAGGGCACGCTGGAAGAAGGGTTCCTGGCTAACGAGGATGAGACAGTCCTCTGGATCATGAATCATCATGAAGCCTTTTGTGGCAAGGAGATTCAAGAAAGGAAGGAGACCGAGAATGCGTCCCAGCCCACCGGGAAGAGCAAAAGGTGGCAAGCAAAGGTCAAGAGGCCGTTTTAGGCCTTATCGCTCAAAAGCGAGAGCCTTCCAGGCAGAAGGACAGGAGCATCCATCCGATCCCAGTTACTACGGTAAAGGAAAAGGAACAGGAAGGGACAAAGGTGGCAAGGGCAAAGGAAAAGGAAATGACAAAGGAGACAAAGGAAAGTTTTTCAAGGGAGCTAAGAAAGGAAAACAAAAGATTCGGCCAAGGCCGCTTCAGCAGGAGCCTATGAAGCGACACCGCACCGGACTGAGATGAATGGCACGAAGACAGCTACTACGCTGATCAAGGATGGAGCTATGCCATATATGAACAGCAGTCGTATTCATACGCAGCATTTGTCTCATGCAGAAGGACACGGAAAACAAAACAAAAGGAAGAACAAAAGGATCAAAAGGCAGAGGAGCAGATCCGAATCCGCGGAAGAAGCCCGTGTCGAACTTTTGCGAGAGTTACCAATGCTTGACTCCTGTAACAACAGGTCAACAAGAACAGCCCCATCGCACAAGCATGCATTGCATACTGCAACAGCAGTTTTTCCTTGGCAGCATACTGTGCTGTCTGCTCTGACGGAAAGGACCCATCTTGAAAGAAACCCTACCTATGTCAGAGTGCACACGTGCCATGGGTTCCCGCTCCCGCTATGCCGTCAACCGACTGATCAAGGCGGTGGAGCGCTACACGCCCGGCAAGAGTGAGTTCACTTTCTCTCCATCCACCACCAAGTTTTCGTTCGCTGATAGTGAGACAGCTCGTATCAAGGAGAAGGTCACTCTGCGGTTCAAAACCACGCCACCACGTGACACCACGATTGAAGTTCTTGACCAAGGTCGTGTACCAATTCTGTTCTCCATTGAGCAGATGCGGAATCTTCGCCATGACCGTAGAGTGCATTGCTACTGTGAGTCCTTCGGACTCCATAAGATGCCTCTCCCAATCAGCACCAATAATCATCTTGTCCTGTTTGGCTGTGGCTCGTCGACGTGGAGTTCGCGTAAGGGTTGCGTTGTGGCGTGGGCTGTTGTGCATTGGGCTGCCCCGCGACCTTCGGCTTGCTGCAAAGTCGGTGGGGCACTTTTCTGGCGGTTTTCTGCGGCTGTGTGGCTTGTGGTCGGGTAGGTGGGTGCAACGGCTGGATCGGTTGCGAGGGCACTTCTGGTTGTTGAGCTTGCCAGTCATGGGCCTGCGACGTTTTGTCGTCATGCCTGAGACGACCGAGGGGTTGAAGGTGGTGTGTTCCAGGAGTCGTCCTTCGGGTTGTATGGTCTGGTATAGCCAGCGCGACACACAGGCATGGGCGGGTGGAGGATGCTGTGTCTGTGCGGCCGGGGCAAACTGCGGTTGACACGCTGTGGGCTGTGACAGCAAAGGGTGAGCAGCGACGTGTGGTGTGCGGTGTGACTGGGGTTGTGGGGTGCTCTGTGATTGTGATGTCTGTGGCGGTGGGCGAACTTGTCCTCCTGCTTGCGCAAGAGGATGTGGTTGCTTAGGTTGAAGCTGGCAGGAGGCGGGAGGGACGTAGACCTGATATGTCGCGGCCTCCCCCTATGTGGAGTACGGTACCCCACGCGGCGTCAGGTGTGTTGCCTGCCACGTGGCGGTTGCGACGGGTCCGGCAGCCAGGCGGGCAGCAGCGGCGTCGTGCTTGTGGTTGAAGTGTCTGGGCTGGCTGTCGGTGCATCGTTGGCTGTTGCTGCGGTGGCTGCGTTGGGCTTGGGCCTGCCGGCGTCAAGACTTGGACCGGTGGGGAGTCGGAATGGGGCTCTTATGGGTCTCCCCCGCGAGGAAGAATATCAAGAGACAGAGGGTCCGCAGTCCGCGTGATCTGAGGCCCGCTTGCAGTCGTCGGAGGATCGGCTCGGGTAGTCCCGACAAGCGCGCCAAAGCGTCACCGAAAGCTTTCTCACAAACAAAAAGCCTGCACAGGAAAGTGTGAGGTTGTCCATGTGCATGTGGTGGTCGAACATGCGTAGTCAAAAAGGTCTGTCATACGAGATGCGAAACTGTCAGGCTGCAATTGTCAAATTTTTCAAATTGTCGCGAAGGCACAACTGATGCAGATTCTGATTCTTCGGATTGCTGAGCAGCATGGGCATGTACTGCGGAGGCATGAAATCCATCCCTGACAGCATCCACCCTGTATGCAAGAACGAACAGGCAACAAGCTTCGCTGAGTGGGGGTAAAATCAATCAGCACGAGGATTCGAGATGAAAGATAATCGCAGGTAGTCCCCCGATTCTCCATCGTCGGAAAGGGCCGGGTTGCTCCCCACCGCACTTTCTCTCGTATGGTGTTGAGGTCCAGGAGCTGCAGCGGCGTGCGGGGCCAAATTCTGAGCGCTGGTTTGGCGGCCGCTTGCTCACGGCAATGGAGGTAATCTGGTGGTCAATGTCCAGATAGACGTTGACGCGGCCTGCGTGCTTGATGGCGCCGACAGGGTATCGGTTGGCAACCCGCGCGCAAACATCGGCATCGGAGGAGTTCCCCCCCAACTGGGTCGCCACGGCACATGTGCCCCAGCAGTCCACAGATTTGATCCAACATGTATGTTGACCATTGGTTGGCCGCAGGGTGCTTCTTGGAACTCCATGGCGGAAAACGATGGCGCATGCGACGAAGAGTGCGCTGATTTCACACCCTCCAGCTTTCCCCCGCTTCATGCCAGTCATGTCTCGGATGTGTATCAACTGCATGCTGTTGGCTTGTTGAATATGTGCACGATGCACGGCCATGCGGCGCAGCCCCACAGGGTGGACTGTGCGCCAACGTTGTGTGTAGGATCATCTTCTTGGAGATCGGTGTCTTGGCCATCAACTCCCCGCGGCTGTAAGGATGCAGCCCGGGCCCTTGGTTGGTACTTCCTTCCCAGCGATGCAGAAGGTCGCCGGTTCCTGGCTGCTGACAATGTCAGTCTTGCCTGGGTGCAGGAAGAGGCCTTCTTGGGGAGCTTATCACCCAGTATATAGGTCCAACATCTTTTGGAGGTGTGTACTGGACATGGATCACAGATATGTATCGTCCATGTATAGCTCCCTCCGTCTTCGGGATGGGTCGACATTCCCCGATGCACTCGTCAAGATCCCTTAGCCACGACTGAACCGAAGGCAACCGGACTGTCAGGGCTCCCTCCCCCTTGTCGCACGCCGTTGGTCTGTGGCAAGAGCAAGGTAGTGGCCGGAAGCTAACAGTGAGGGTGTCCGAGCGTAGAAGCGAGGCCCAGGCCCGCGTTTCCCAGGGTTTGTTGCCCCGGCGAAAAACGTCTTCCAATGCGAAGGACCATCGACACATGATACACCGAGTCAAAGGCTTTCCGACTGTCCACTTGGCGACGAACATGCTGATGCCGAAGTCAAACGCAATTCTGCATTGACATGACTTGCTTGACCATTGCAAACGGGACGGTATCGTGGCATCTCTCCCTCTCTCCCTCCCTCTCCTCTTCAACACAGACATGCAAGGGACAGTGCTCTCGCACTGCCCCCGGACATCTCGCTTGCTTGCTTGCTTGGCCTGGCCTGGCCTGGCTTGCTTGGCTTGGCCTGGGTTGGCCTGGCTGGGCCTGGCTTGGCCTTGGCTTCCTTGCTTCCTTGTTTCTTTCCTTGCTTCCTTACTTCAGCTCGAGCCGCCGCTCGCGCTGCTGTGACGACGAAGGCTCAAGCCGCTGCTCAGACTGCCGCCGCCAGCACTCGGAGTACCCAAACTCAGCTTCGCAAGTACTTCGGAACGCACAGCCATGCCGGGTTTGGACTTTCTTCCGGCAGTCGCGAGCCCTGCCGCATCGCGGCCCTCGAAGCGCAGTCGACCAGAAGTCGGGCGCCCGAAGGGATCGACGGAACAGCAGGTTCAAGAGCTCAGCCAGCAGATGCAGGAGATGTGTCACATATTGGCCAGTCACGATCACAACCTTCGAGAGCTGGAAGCTTGGTCAACTCTGACTTGGTTGCTCGATCAGAACAGCGAGCTCGCGAAGCATTTGATGGCTCACATGGATGCATGGAAGCAGAAAGCGCAGCAGGGACAGCCTCATCCAGATGGAGCAGCAAGGTTCACTGTAGGCGCAGCTTTGGCGAAATGGGTGCTAGACAGTCCTGAACGGCGTGCTGCTTGTCCCCAGTTTGCGGATGCCCATGACAAGATTACCTCGATTGAAGAGATGAAGTCGAGCATTCAGCTCGCTTTCGCAAAGCCAATCAAGGACGGGCGCATCCTTCTCAAAATCAGACCCCACCTGCAGATGCGGGACGCATGGACAGAAGTCTGTGCCGTGTTGTCAGCAGCGGATTTAGCTGAGACAAAGGACATGGCGGCGCCTGCTGGGCCAATCATTCGCAGTCTCACAAAGGGCGACAAGCAATGAAGCAAATTTGTTATGTCTCGATTTGCACTCATGTGTTCTTTCTAGCAGTGCTTGAAGAGGGGAACAGTGCCCCCTCGGAGCCTAACCCCTTTTCAGCAAAGGGTCGCAGGGCCAGCTTTTTATGGATGTTCATTGCCCGAGTCGATGTATCACACACCAGCTTCAAGCTCGTGTGCGCAGTCCTAGAACTGTGGTTGCACAACAGCGGGATGTAGAGATGCACACGCTGAGACTTCACCGCTACGTGGTTGCAATGCAAAAAAACTGCTTCCTTACTTCCTTCCTTCCTTGCTTCCTTACTTCCTTCATCGTTTGCTTGCTTGCTTGCTTGCTTCCTTGCTTGCTTGCTTGCTTGCTTGCTTGCTTGCTCCCCCTCTCTCTTCTTCCACACAGCCACAGGAAGAGCAGTCTGCCTCTCCCCGCGCGATGGTCTGCAAGGTCTTTGTTCGTGTGACACTCCAGATGAGGCCGATGTCTGGACAACACTGCATAGTCCCCCTGAACGTACACTAATAACCACCCCCCGGCCTCATAAGCATGTGCCCTAAACCCTCTCTCTATCTTTCGGCTCTGCCTCGTCAAATTTACTCAGGACATACACTCTTAGGACTGTTAGGGTTCCGGCAGCTTCGTTTTCATCTTGCCCCCACGTCACTTGCGCCACCTCACCTGGACACCAACGAATAGCTTCACAACAGCCAGTCGGTCCTGATATGTCCTGATGGTCAGCTACAGCAGTCAGGCATTTGGTGGTCGCATCGGAGTGATCATGCCATCGTCAGACAACTGCAAGTACTTTTCACGACGAATGTACTCACTGCAACTTGCCTGCAGCAGCGGGGTGAGGCCCTCTGAAGGTGCAGGCAATTGCACACCTTCCGGGATGCAGCTCTAACTCTTCATCGATCCGGTTGCTCCGTGAAAGTTGCGGCGAGCGCCGACGGCATGTTGTGCCTTGCTGCTCCTGTGTCGTGACCAGAGCATGCAGACAAGCAGTGTGTCTTGCTAAAGATGACAGCAAGCGAAGGGGGAGGGGGACGGGGAGGGGCAGTGGGAGAGGGAGTTGGAGGGGCCGGTCGATTTCGCAGAACAAAGAGCCCACTCTGGATGAAACAGCACTTAATTCCCTGTCTCCGACACTTCAATCATTGCAAGCTTTGCCCCAGCTCAACAGGTTCACAAGCCTGGTGCTGCGAGGCTTGGCTCCAGGCGTCCAATGCTTCGAGCAAGCCGCCTGTCACTCTTCCAACGAACTGCAAACTGACTCGTTGCTCTGCCTAGTGCAGCCGAATCCACAAGCGTGCGAAGATCTCTGTTCCGGGCAGCGCAAGTCCTGAGTGCCCTTGTTCGCAGGACGAAGCCTCTCCGTTTCCTAGGGTCTGTCGAGTCTATCGCGGCTCACCCCTTCGTTTGTGGGATTTGCCATGGACAAATTGCAGCGCTGCTGATAGGGGCTGAGTAGCTGCAAGTACCATGCAGTGTTCGAATGTCAATCTGTTCCCAATGCTGCTTTGAAAGCTACCAGCAACGAGCAATACAAGCGAATCGAACGAAGGCCTGCCGAACGTGCTCGCCGCTGCTAACATGGACCTTCGTCCACAGCCCTCTCATCTATTCGCAGACACAATCACTGTCAATCACTGATGGAGTGCGAGCTCCACAGAAAGGCTACGGCGGGAGCCTGCTTTTGCGCTCGGGCGCTGATTCTCAAAGATTCGGACGAAGACAGGGCCGCAGGGCTGATGCAGTTGTTCGCTGCTGTGCTATCGCATGGTGGCACTAAACTGAAAGACATATGCATTGCTTCTGCCAACTTTTGCGGCAGTGCGGAACCGACGTGGAAAGCGACTGAGCGACATCAGCGTCTGAGCGACAGCTAGCCTCAGATTGTAAGCATGAAGCGCACGACAGACAAGCATGCCTTTGAAGATGTGCATTCTCGCACGGTCCCGTGGTTGTGGCCAACCACCTTTTTTGGAGTAGGTCAGGCATTAGGAAGTCATTCGTGCGCCGAAATCGTGTGCGGCACATGACCCATCACAGGTCAAGCAAGCATTGGCTGGCCATTCCAGAATCTGCTCGAATGTATGCCGAACCATGTCGGTCTCGAAAAAACTCGCACGCCCCACGATACGCGAATGTAGGTTGAGTGTGAAGGTCGAATGCTTACCTGCTACATGTTGAGAGCTTAACTCTCCGAAATGGGCTGACAAGAAGCTTCGGGTCAGGCCAGCGCATCTTTTTGTACAGGTCTGGCATGTCAAATGCTGTGCCTATGCTGCTCGAGTAGGCATATGAGGCATCAAACCCCTGCCCAACTGCACATAGAAAGAGGGAGTCCAAGGAGGGCGAATTCAAGTTTTGGCTCCCAGCCTTTGCTGTTTGAACTCTTCTATAAGAGCATACGTTGGTACATGCTCAACCGTTACGCTACTCGTAGCTTGCATGTTTCTAGGTCTGAGCAGCACAGGCAACCGTCGACACAAAATGTGTGGGACGAGTGAAGCTGCATGCCCGACACATGAGTCGTGATTAATCGGCTGGTGTATCCAAGCAACTGTGAGTTACAAGCTTGGAGCCGTCCAAGCCTGGATGCCAGATTTTCAGACATGTGCTGAGCGACCGTGTCGCTGCAACAAACATGCTTAGCATTACACACTGAGTGACACTGACTCATTGAAGTCAAGAACTGACATCTTCACTCCTTGGTACATTAAGTCGCGAAGCTGAGCAGCGAAGGCCGCAGCATGAAGGCCTAACTCGGCATGAGAACGGATCCTCTGAAGCAGGCAGCTGCTTGCGTTCAGTTGCAAATAAGTCTCAGATCCTTTGATAGGGATATTCCATGAAGCTCCCAGATAATGAGGCCAACAAGGTAGAAAGGGAGAGTGGTTCAAGGTGCCTTCATCCTGCCGACGATCGACCTTCACCACATGTTTCGAGCGAAGGCTGAGTTGAGCCGCAATCCCCCACGGCTGGCTGTCTGAACCGTACTTGGTTGCTTGGCCTTAGTGACCGAAGCTCCGCTTGGCTTCGTGTTGTGTTAGTGACTGTTAGTACTGTGTTGCCTTGCGTTGTAAATTGCTTTACTCGCTTGCTCGCTCGCTCACTGGCTTGCCGGCTTGCTCTTTTGCTTGCTCTCTAATGATTGATCGCTTGACTGTTTTCTTGGTTGATTGTTTCCCCGGGTGATTGGTTAACGAGTTTTTTGCGCTGAGTAGTTCGTTGGATGCTGGGCTGCTCGGATGCCTGCCTTGTCTCGCCTGGCCTGGCCTGGCCTGGCCTGGCCTGGCCTGGCCTGCGCCCCACTCTCCGCCAGCGCTCGAGCCCTCCAGCCCCGGCCTCGCCTCGCCTTGCTTTGAATCGGTCGATCTGTATTGCTTGATTGCTTGCTTGCCTGCCTGCCTGGCTGGTTGATTGCTTGATTGGTGGTTTGGTTGATTGGTTGATTGGGTGATTGATTGGTTGATTGGGTGATTGATTGCTTGCTTGATTGTAGATTGACCGACTGACGGCTTGCTTGATTGACCGACTGACGGATTGACTGATTGCTTGATTGCTTGCTTGCTTGCTTGCTTGCTTAATTGATTGATTGATTGATTGATTGATTGATTGATGGGTCGGTCGATTGAGTGAGTGATTGACCGATCGACTGATGCATTGATTGGCTGGTTTTTTTTGCGGAAGGCCTACATGCGGTCTCCGAAGTATCGTGGGTTTCGGACCACGAAGACTTGCAGGAGGTCTGGCCAAGGATTATGCCGAAACCAGTACCTCCAAGTGCATCTCAATGATCAGCAACAGCCGCCGTTAGAAGCTTGCAAACAGGAATTGCCGAAGAGCTTCAAGGTTCTTTCGGCCGTGAGGCCGTGCCTTCGAACCGCTTCACTCCGCCTGCCATAGGGTGCTGGCATGGACTGAACTGGCGCGATTGCAGTGCTGCCGGTCGAGGCCCAAGCATGCCAGTTCGGAGATGCCCAGTAAACAGGAGTGGGGGCTGTGACTCTAGCTAGTGATAGTGCCAATCATCCTAAACACGGAACTGCCAACAAAGGGAAGAAAACATCACCACACGTGCACAATTTGACACAGCAACGTCTCTCGGCACGGGCTGACGGACAGGGTGCAACAAAACAGCCGCCAGAAGAGCCTGTAGGATGTGCCGGCAACAAAGGGACATAGATCGGGCTCAGGGTCACTTGCGGAGCCCATGCGCCAACAGCTTCTATGCACTCGGTCTATACAGAGAACAATAAGCCACTGCTAGGAGGAAGACGAAAGCATGAACCCATCTCTCCTGTTCCTACAAACCTGATATCGCCCGCTAACGTGGTTCTTTGCAGCCTCAGAAGGGAATGTTTCTCCGCACGAGGTCGAAGTCCTGACTGTCTACCATCAAGTCTATATCCTATCATTGGCTGGGAATCAAACAAGAATCACTTAACTGCACTGGATCATCAGGCCACAACGCCCGGAACACACCAAATACGGCTCATCCACTTTTGGCGAAGCGACGAAAGGACTGTTACCCAGTCATCTGTCTTACTAGGTTACACCTTTGTCCCGGCACCCGGTGTTCGAAGACACGACCGCCGAGACGGTGCCGGCGGTCAAGTGTTCGAGTGTAGATTGAAACCTACCCATTCGCATTGAGTTTGTCCACGTGTTCTGCCGGTTTGAAAATGCAGTGCAACCAGGATTCATACAGGCAAGCCAAGGGAACATGCAGCAATGCATAAGCCCACATGCGTACTGTGCGGTTCCGTAGTGGTCGCCACCGCCGGCAAGATTTAAATCAAGGTAAGGATACAAACACAGGGACCCTTCATATCAAACCAACACTAGTTTGAGAACATATCAGTGCGCAAGCCGGAGAGAGAGATGGCACTTGCAAAAAGGTATTCTGACCGAATCTTCCAGAAAGTTTCAAAAGATCGATGCATCACAGACATCACATGGCGTCCATTGACTCTGCACCCCTTCACTTCTCCAAATACGAG